AACCTCAGGTATAAGACTGCAGAAAGCCAATCAGTTGTACAGATCTGTCATCGACATCCTCCTAATTGCCATGCAGTATAACATCGTAATTAGCCTGGAGAATCCATACCGATCTTGGTTTTGGGCGGCCATTTTGGCACTTGTACAGGCCCAGAACAATCCAGCGCTCACGAAATTCTGGGACTCACTCACAGAAGTTTTCTTTCATAACTGCTGCCATGGCGGTCAAAGAAAGAAAGGAACCCGCTGGAAATCCAGCCAAGGAGTTTTCCAAACTCTGTCTGCGACATGCCAAAATGACCACGATCACTTGCCATATCAAGTACACACCGAAGATGGAACATGGATTTTTGACACAGCCAGTGAAGCCGCTTACCCGGAACTGCTCACTCAAAGGGTTGCAACCGCCATTCGAAACTTCTTATCCCCAAGAAATTTTTCGTTTGCCCCACCACCCAACCCGAGACTGACCTCGTTGGCCATGCAACACCGCCAACATAAAAAACGACGTCAGTTAATTCCAGAGTTTGCCCACATTCACTGGTTCTCCCCTAATCACAAAATCCAAGATTTTCAAAAACTCCTGCCTTCTTCCCATCAGGGGGAATATCAGGAAGAAGCCCAGCCACATTCCGAAAAAGACATCTTGGTAGGGACTTGGCATACACCGGAAGAGTTCGTAAGGGAAGCTCAAAGTGCTGTCCACCCAATGGACGAATGCGCTCTGAACAAAATTACGAAAGATGCCATTGACTTCGTAGTAAAGTCCGATCCCAGGTTGGTGTCAATAGGAAGAAGAACCTGCTGAAGGCGAAGATCTTGGCCAAACAGCTAGCGGGAGATGAAAAGTCCTTGCATGAGAGCCTTCCCGAATCGGTGGAAAAAGTGGTGAGTGACAAAAAGATCCTGTTGTGGCAGACCTTACTCGAACAAAACGGGTATGATGACATGGAAGTAACCAAGTTCATGAAGTCGGGGGTTCCGCTGGTGGGTGCTCATGACCATCCACCCTGCTACCCTTTGAAACCAAAGCTTGCCTCATTGACAGAAGCCGAGCTGAGAAGTTCAGCAATCTCCTGCCGAGTCGCCCTTGAAAACAGACGGCCCCAGACGGACGCGCAAGGCTTTGCTGAACACCTCGAATCTACGGCCCTGGAAGAGGTAGGTATGAAGTTCTTGGACGGCCCATACTATGCCGACACTGAAGTAACAGACATCCTTGGCCATCCCAACTGGAGGATCATGAGGCGGTTTGTGATTGAACAGGGAGCCAAGCTCAGGCCGATAGACGATGGGTTGGAAGCGCAACTCAACTCTGCGTATACATCCACCATCAGGCTTGATCTCCAAGATGCCGATTACGTTACAGCCCTGGCATTGGAACTGGGCAAGACTCCCGAGTTGAACTGGATGGGGAAGACCCTGGATTTGTCAAAGGCGTACAAACAGCTGCCAATTGCCCCACGTCACAGAGATTTGGCTGTAGTCTTCTTCAGAGATAAAAATGGGGATCCCAGGTACTACATCCCTAACGCTCTGATGTTCGGATCAACGGCAGCGGCTTATGCCTTTAACAGGGTTAGTCGCTCTTTGTGGTTCTTGATAAACAAGTTTCTCAAGGTCCCCTCTGCGGTATACTTTGACGATTACCCCATGTTTTCCCCAGAGGGGGCCGCTGCAGAGACAGATGCCCTGGTGTCAGATTTCCTGGATCTTCTTGGTTGGAGGCATGACCGCACCGGCCCAAAGGGTAAGCCCTTCCAGCCGACCTTTGATGTTTTGGGAATGTCGTTGCAATTAGCCGGATTGCCAGAGTCCCGGACCCTTACTTTGGGCAACAAGGAAGGGCGCATCGAAAAGATAGCCTTGAGGGTACAAAAGGTCCAAGAGGCAGGTCAGATGACCCTTGCAGATGCCCAAGAGATTCATGGTTTGCTGAACTTTGCCACCGGTTACTTCGCCGGGAGGGCTCTCCGGTATGCTTGCTTCAAAATTTTCTCTCTGGTAGACAAGGGAGACTCTAAATCTCCCCGCTTGAAGAAGTGGTGCGAAGAGGTCTTAGTTCTTCTTGAGAGTGTGCAGCCCCGAACAATTCCGGTGGGCATCAACACAAATACAGTGCTGATCTTCACAGATGGTTCATGGGAAGCTGGTGTAGCAGGCATCGGTGCAGTGCTGCTGGACGAATCAAGTGGTGCTCGAATCGTAGTTCAAGACCGAGTCCAAAGTGACCTCCTTGCTTTGTGGAAAGATCTTGTAGGGGACCACTTGATTTGCCAGATCGAACTCCTGGCAATGGTGCTGGTGCGATGGCAGTGGAGGCAAGAGTTGCACAACCGTAGGGTCCTCTTGTTCGTAGACAACAACTCCGCCAGGGGAGGTGTGGTCAAAGGGCGTTCCAATAGCCCTAGCATGGACGACTTGTTGAAGGCCTTCTTCTCAGTAGAGGTCCATCTGCCATCCTTCTGGTGGATAGAGCGGGTTCCAAGCAAAAGCAACCCAGCGGATGAACCCTCGAGGTTCGAAGGAAGGGCCGCAGCGGTCAGATGGTCTGCGAAGTTCATCTCCGAGTTCAGTTGCCAATCACTCGTTGCCAGTTGGTTAGTGAAAGCAGCGCACAGCAGGAAGCACGGTTAGAAGAAGGGGGAATGTAGCAACCGAGCTATCCAGCTATGTTGACATCACCAATCAACCCTTCCATTGGAACCTCATCCAAACAGCTGGATCATAACAGGCACAGACCGAAGCAGAGACATCCGAGTCTCAGACATGACTTCCCCCGATCCATGGTCAAAAAAGAGTGTGGCTTGTCCGCTGCTGCGCATGGAAGTTGTTGCACATTGATCTTAGCACAACAGAGGATTTGTGGTTTTTTTAGGATCAAGTGATTAAAACAAGAAGGGATTTTACACAACGTGGATAGCACCTTCTTGGGCTAAGAACTGGACAGGATCATTTAACAAAAAATGAGACGGCCTAAAAAACCAAAATAATATAACTGGTTTAGAAAACAAGAAAAATCTTGAGTGAAACTTGAAACATGAGTCTATTTCCATATATCGACCTCACCAGAGACTCGAAACGTGTTAGGAAACGTTTGACTGGATGATATCAATGTATCTCATGCTGTGATGTTCCTGGTTCAAGTCCTTCAACAAAGAAGGCAAAACAAGAGCAACGAAGCTCAAATGTTTTTCATGTGCATGTTTGGCATTCAGGTAGTCAATCAACATATTTGCACATGATCTTGAACACAGGAACTTGGAATCATACTTCACTCAAACTTTTTCTTTTCCCACCCTCCCAACCCTAAGACAGGGAAGGGGGGGAATGTAGCAACCGAGCTATCCAGCTATGTTGACATCACCAATCAACCCTTCCATTGGAACCTCATCCAAACAGCTGGATCATAACAGGCACAGACCGAAGCAGAGACATCCGAGTCTCAGACCTTCCATTGGAACCTCATCCAAACAGCTGGATCATAACAGGCACAGACCGAAGCAGAGACATCCGAGTCTCAGACATGACTTCCCCCGATCCATGGTCAAAAAAGAGTGTGGCTTGTCCGCTGCTGCGCATGGAAGTTGTTGCACATTGATCTTAGCACAACAGAGGATTTGTGGTTTTTTAGGATCAAGTGATTAAAACAAGAAAGACAACAGTAAACAAAATGCAAAGGAATCCACACATATTATTATCAAACAGGAGTTTTCTCACTTTCATTCTTAGCATTTTTTGTCATGGCTGATGTTGATCCTGCGTTGGACGCTCCTGAGAGTAAGAAGTTTCCCTACGGAAGTGAAGGTTTCTTGGCTGTAAACGATGCCTTCAAAAAAATGAGAAAATGATGACAGAAATTCAGGATTCGATGTAGGTTTGGTCAGTGGTAGTTCAATTGACCTTGGGTAAACTCTGCACATTGACATTGAGCAGAAATAATCGTTGACTGAGACGACTTTTGTTGCCCAAACCGAGGTTTCATACATTTGGGTTCTGTGGTACTAGTTGGTTGGCCGGCATCTGATCAGGGTATACAGTGTGAGTGGAGCATTCAGCACCTTTTTCACTCACTGAAGAAGCTGACACCGGGTGGGGACGATGACACATTGCAATTGTCAGACTTGTCACACCGGGAGATACAACGTAGAGCAAGATCCTTGAATGAGAATTTAAATAGGTATCAACATAGAAATTATGTTGTTTTTTGTTTGTTTTGGTGAGAAATACCATCACCTTAGAAATGAATTTTCATTGGCGCAAAATTTTGCAGCTCAGGAAACTGGAAGATAAACAATTTGGAATCCTGGAAGAAGGCACACAAGCAACTCTGGCCGGGTGTCGAAGTACCTGCCTTATTGACGGCTACTGCAAACAGAAATGTAGAAAGGGAGGAACAGGGAGCTCGACCCGAAAACTCTTTCTTTGTGGAAAGCACGCTGCCAACTTCAATGTTGATTGCCTCTCTAACTTCACAGATCACTCAGCACAGAAGTGCTAGGAAATTCAGGGCGGCAGCTTCGATTCTGTTGCATGACATCCTCAGAAAGTTGGTTCGAACTGGTAAAATGACAGCTAGGTTTACTACAGGTGATGGCATTGAGTTCAATATTCCAATTCCAACTGGTGGTGGGTTTCCTTCCGCGACTTTGGTTTCTATGGTTGGGGATCCATCGTCATTGAGAAAAGTAAAGGAAGCCTGGGACAAGGATGCAGAGGACAGGTTCTGAAAGTTTCCAAAGATAATGACACCCACAAAAAGGTTCAATAGAAAATAGCGTTAGTTGTTTGAAGTTGTGTAATTGTTTTTGTGTGTTTCACAAGTTTTTTCCAGGACGGAAACAAACCATGGATATGTGGTTCCTGGGGACCTACCATTGACTGGACATCATTCCTGATCTTCGCATTGGATTCGAATCTCAGCATCAATGAATATATAGTACATTTTGTTTATTTCTACTTACTTGCATATGGTAGTTTATTAACAGTGGTCATGATGCATGAGTAGTGTGTTATCATATTCCCACTACACCATCTCTCAAACTAAGGACAACCTCAAAGTATCTGAGACCCATTGGTTTCACACTGCTGGCACAGGCTGCTTTTTCTTTAGCACTTTGGCATGCAGTTTTAGTGTATGCATTAAGATACATCATTTAAACAACAAGAGAGATAATGATTATATAAATATATATTATAAAATAATCAATCATTACACTACCGTTACCACAATTATCCTTCCCAAATTGTGTTATTCATTGGTCTCAATTACTCGCAAGTTCCTTTTATTTAGAAACAACACATCATGTGATGAAAACTCAGGACGCTCAATTCCACATGGTGGCCACTTCCTCATTGAGAAAGACAAGGACACCAGTGCGTTTCAAGGCACGAACGAACGCCTCTACGCTCTGGGAAATCATCCAGCTCGTCAAGAATCAAACAGATTCTCATCACTAATTATTGCTGAATGTTTGATCATTCACCCATCCCAATCTTCTTGGGAAAAAAAAAGTAGCCACAGCAGCCCAGGAACACATTTTAGCCTCGGCCTTCAAGAAGCACGATGCGTTCAAGAATTCAGAGCAGAAACAGATTTCCAGCCAGTGTGCATTTACCTACGAGAGGTACTCTGTCCCTATGACAGCACTAAAACAACAGCTTGAATCTGTCATTATACCACTGGATAAACACAGATCACTGACGTTTTTTTTTAAACGGATTGGACCTGCAGTTCCGGTAATTGCTGATTGATATTGTATATGTCCAATTATAAATATTTATCCCTTGAATTCAAGTATCACTTCAATCAATGGCAATGCCCAGGGTGCATACCTGCGTGCGACTCAAAGAATATGTGGCCCTGAAATCCACAGAAGTGCTGCTCGGTGAAACACGTGATGAAACCAGGGGTGTGTAGCTGTGGGCAACAGTTCAACATTCTTGCTACTTTGACAATATGTTTCAGTGTTGTATGTCAGCCACAATATTTTTTGCATAGAACCTCCTGCTGATCATCTGATCTAGTGCTTCTGAGAGCTAGGTCGCATTTGATGGGACGTCTATTGGAAAGGCTCCTCTGGAAGGTTACGCTTTTCACTGCAGCTTGACTGAACCCTTTTTTACATAACATCAGGAACCTTTCAGCAGACATTACATCATCCTATCACCAGTGAATATTCACCAGCAGCATGGTACATAGTTACGCTGCCATGTAAATTCATATGCATTTTGGTTTACAAGTATTTAGCGGAGGCTCAGTCACTCACTCTCCCAGGCCCTGGAATTGATGTCGTGTGCTTCGCGCCACCACTTGCAACTGGCCAGCATTCCGGGCCAATTTGGGACAGGACGAGGAAAGTAACAGGTAGCAATTACCAACCAATCAAAAAAACAGAGTTTCACGGACTGATCTTAGTGAAATAACAACTAGATGTTTTGTGAATCCATGTCCAAATAGGCTCAAACTCGAAAGAAAAGAGGCATTGGAGATGGAAGCTATCGAAGAATTTGTGCATGACATTCAAAACAAATCAACATGTTATCACATATGTTTTCTTTTTTCACCAAGACCACTAAACAACAGCAAAACAGTTTTCCAGTCATCGTGTGGCCATAAAATTGATGCCATTCCCACCCCTTGCCAACAATGTGGGTGGACCTTTGGTCGGATGAAGACCGGTGGCACCGTGCCGAAGATGACCCAGCACTTACAGCTACTGATGAAACATCTTCAGAGCACCGGTCCCTGGCTCTATCTGTTGATAAAGAGGACTGAAGTAGCTATTTATTTGAAATAAAATCCAGAGTACGTGTGTCTTGGGGAATGGTATTTAATTATAATGATAAAAATACAGTAAGAGGATAGCATATTCTATCATTCAACCAGTCAGTGTCCTAGTCACTAGTACTTAGTCTGTTCCAGCCCCCCTGCAGGAGGATTCGTGGAATCGGCTTACCAAAGCATCTAACTCCATTGCGGTGGGCTGGAGCCTAGTGAAGAAAACAGTGCCACGAGTCCAGGCACGTGGTTGTATCAAACTTACTGTTTGGAACGGATACTGAATTATTACGATAATGTCAATGTTTTTGCAATCATTGATATATTATATATATATTATATATATATTCTGGTTTGATGATACATCTTATTCAATTGCCCAGAATTAATAATCCCAATTAAATGGAGTCAGACCCGCTGAAGGATTCGTGGTTGTACCGGGGCAGAACTGCCTTCTCTATGTGCACTGGCGCTGGGACAGCTGAGTCATCCCGTGCAGTCCTGCAGAGTGTGGTCAACAAGTACCCCCTACCTGGGTGTCACCTAGAAATGGATTTCAGAACGGTGGCCATATGGGAAACTAGGTTTTCATTATTATTAATTATAGCACTCACTTTCGTTTTTTCCCAAACCAACCTCATTCATGGGCAGTGACTTACTTCAATTTGCTTTACTCATATGAACCCAGTCAAGTCAAGCCTAGGAATGTGCTGCAAACTGCAACGAGCTGCTGTTCGATAATCACAGATGGTGCAATCAAACGGTGAACAGGGATCACCCGATGCCGCATTTTTCAAAGACATCATGGCCTTGAATCTACCTGGTACCTTTTGTGCACATGATGGCTATAGCTCAAAGAGGCAAAAAATTTGCAGGTCAATTTTAGTTTCTGGACAAACATGCAACACCCACTCCTTTCTCGAGTCAGACTCTGAAAGGTGTGAAGTTCCAGGTGCTGACTTTGGCTGCAGTGGACTGCCCTGCACGGACATGTCAAGGGCTGGGAAGAGACAATTGCGACATGGCCCCACAAATGGTGTCTACATGACCCACGGAAAGTACGTTGAATCCAAACAGGTCCCCATCTTCGTCCTTGAATGTACACCAGAGACTTAGACTCAGTTAGTTCTTGCAAGATAAACATCTGGCTTACTTACCTGTTTTCTGTTTATTTAGAAACATTGAAAATAGATTCGGGTAACTAATGTAGAAAGTAGGATCAGTGACATGGCATCCATTTTTTGACGGTACCAATCTTTGCTTCTCAGGATTTGGACATGACAATGGTCGAGGATACGCATCCCTCCTATGACCTGTTCCAGATGTTCTTGTCAACTTCAGACTCTGGGCATGCTGTGGCGAAGAGGGATCGAACCTATGTCATTTGCTCCCACCAAGAGCATACTTCATGCACTTATGACCCGGAATGGATGCTGAGTCTGATTTCTCGGAGGATGAAATCAAAAGTACAGACGGTTCCCAGTGATTACTTCCTGGCTACAATTTTTGAAGTTCAACAAGAGGCTCAACAACTTGCTATCCGTAGAAAGATCCCATTCCAACCATGTTGCAACAACATGGAATATCTCCTCACTCAACGGGAGGAAAATGCATTGCGTTCCTATGAAAAGGCATACTTTGATGAATACAGACGTAGCGCCAAAAGTGACCCTGATTTGATATTTTTTTTAGGAGACGATGGGTCCACTTGGCGCACATGGAGCGCGAAAAGTGGCGCCATCCCGACTTTCAGAAGAAACTGCAAGTCCGGTTTGTTCTGGATTCCATCCTTGGGGAGATTTTTGACCTCCCGGGAGAAACTTGCTGCTTTGTCCTGGCCTGTAGACCACCATATCTCCCAGGCAATGAACTGCCAGCCAGTCGGCAGTCAGGACATCCTGCGGGCTGCAGATATTGCTGGCAATGCCATGCATTTTGCATCGGTAGGGCTTGCCCAGCTTTTGGCACTCAGCTGTTTTCGGCCAATGACTTGAGGTTGTCCCTATATATAATATTTATTCTATCATGATATTTTATTAATACAATTGCATTACCCACCCAGGTTGTTTTAGTTACTTGATTGTTACCTTTACACTGTACACTTATAACAGTGGCAGCCTCGAATTTTCAGGAGCCGGGTTACAAGTCTAGTAGAGTTTCCTTGTGCTGACCATCAGTGAATCAGAATGCTGATGTGGTCATGCTAATGCCGAGTGTGACTGGTTTTGTCCAGCGTCCGAACATCGCAAAAACAAGAAATGAAACCTTTCGAAATTATTGTTGGAGCTTCGATGGGTTTCTGCCGTGGCAGTATTCACTAAGCCATATGTTCTGTCAATCAACCCTTGAACTCAACCCCGATGACTGCAATTCATATGCTGATGTTGTATGTGTGTTTACAATTCTATGTTCACTACCGGTAGTTTTTCCAGCATCAATCAGGGATCCGAGTTGAGTCGTTGTGGCCAACGTAGGCACCCACGTCTGGTGTTGTCAGCCATGTCCCTCGTCCCCCTCAAATGGGATGGTGATGATGAAATGGATGAATCTTCTAAGACTGACAGTGAAAGTGAACCAGAAGAAGATGAAGATGAACTTGACGAGGAGTCAGAATCCAATGAAAGTGAGGAAGGACGTCGGGGGCAGGGGGCAAAGGCAAAAGCGAAGTCCAAGAGTGCAAAGGCTGAGAAGGCAAAGCCAAAAAAGTCCTCAAAGGCCAAGGCAGCAGTGAAGAAGAAGGATAAGAAACCAAAGAAGTCAAGGCAATCCAAGAAGAGTGACAACATGATGTTTCGCTACGCTGCATGGCGTGCTGTGCCGGATTCTCGCTTCAAAACATATTGATAATCATTCAATTCAATCTTTTCAAAATGAATAGGTAGAAATCTAATAACCACACTTACTTCAAGTAACAGGGATTGATGGAACATGATAGAACTGTTGAAATATGGGGTAGGGGGCTCGCTCACACCACTCCGAGGAAACCCACCTCAAAGACTTTATGGCGTCAGCCGAGCCCAAGCAAGCCAGTGCTTTGAAAATGGCGGCTTTCTCAGGACGTGAGGTTCGTCGAGCTTTCTTCGGAGACTTCCGTCAACCCCCAGGTCGCAAGCCCGACAAGAGACTTGGTTGACAAATCAAACTCATTTGGCACACAGGTCAGACACACACACACACATACACATAGTAGTTATGACAAATAAAGATGTCAGTATTTACTCTGGGCAAGTTCAATGACCTGTCACACAAGGGTTCATCCATGTGATATCTCTAAGCCACTGCCCAGGAAATCGAAGGGTGAGATTCGCAAGGACCTGCTGAATGAGTATGATGCTCTGGGCAAGCCGGGGAGTGGGAAAACACTCAGGGCTGTTGTGCAAGATGTGGAAGACGAGATGTCAAAGAATTTGGAGTTTTCAATCAACAAAGACGGGAAAACCTTGTATCTCCTGTGCGGTGGAAAGAAACGAGTCAAGCTTGAAGATCCCAAGTTGAAACCGCAGATCTTCCGTGAGACGAACACCGGCATTCCTTACATGACAAATGGAAAGACACAGACTCGCTGTGTTCGTTTCTTTCAGATGGCTGATGATGTTGAAAGCACTGAGAATAAGAATGAGATGGGTGACAATAAGGTTCATCCAGCCCCAGCTGGTTTGCCCAGTACAGGTTTGGTGTTCAACAAATGTCGACTTCGTTAAATAAAGCAGCAGTACAGTAACTAAGTATGAATTCAGCTGTTCAAAATGTCACCCATGATGTCAATTTCACAATAATATGTTTGATGGTTACAATCTGACATTGAAATTCTGAAAAGCTCTTATAATCAATGACTACCATCCTCCAGCCCTACAGGTGCAGAGGCCAAGGATCCTACAAAGCAGCCGGTTTGCCATTGCAACTGGTTCAGGGAGGTGTGTGACGAGTGCAATGCTGGGTGGATGACGGAATTGCAAGCGGGGAAAGCTTGCAAGTTAGGTTTTTTGGACAATACAGTATCTATTTATTTTTTGTTGATTTACAGGCATTTGTAAGCACATTCATTTTCACACTGACAACAATCCGACCTATAAAAAAAATCTATGCATAAAAAAGATATATATATATGAGTTGTCATCCCTACTACATTGTTACATGCCCCATAAAATTTATTTTAATTTAAATCTTTCCACTGGCTTACTTAGGTGATGGAACGGGTCCTGCAGCACCAGATTCTCCTGCACCATCGCTGCCAGACTCTGATAGCGATGAAGATTTGGATCTGTCCAAGGAACCTTAGATATGATTGGGGTGGGGCTGGGAGGCACATGTCACCCCCAACATGTAACACCACAGTCATTAATTCAGAGAAGTTATACACTTACACTCCTGAACACTCGGAATGTTGCTCACTTCTAATTTCATAAGATTCCATAAAAGTATATAAAAGTAACAAAGCCACCCAATCGAACTAGATCACCTCAAATTCCGACAGGATGCCACAGAAGGCTACAAGATTCACACGTTGCTGAACGGCATCAAACTTTTGGTTCGTCATACCAGTACACCATTGACATGTGCAGAAGTGGATTCAAAGGGGAAGTGGAAAATTCTGAAGAACACAGCTGAAGGAAAACGAAAGAATGAGCTGTTCATTCATGATACCTCTCAAGGACTGAAGCCGCTTTGGGTTTACAAGCTTCAATTCAACCCTGTGACTGATGAACAGCTGGAGATGATCAAGGATTCCCACAAATCAGAGAAGATCACGAAAGGCAAAGCAGAAAACTCAGATGCAAAGAAGTCAGAGAGCGAGGCCGAGCAGAAGAAGAAAGACGAGGAGGCAGCATTGAAAAAGAAGACAGATGAAGAAGCACAGAAGATTAGGGAGAAGGAGGAGTTAGAATTGAAAAAGAAACAAGAGGAAGAGGCAGAGAAGAATAGGGAGAAGGAGGAGGCAGAATTGAAGAAGAAAGCAGAGGAAGATGCGCAGAAGAAAGAGGCAGATGAAGAGGCACAGAAGAAGAAGGCAGAAGAAGAGGCGCAGAAGAAGAAGGCAGAAGAAGAGGCGCAGAAGAAGAAGGCAGAAGAAGAGGCGCAGAAGAAGAAGGCAGAAGAAGAGGCAGAGAAGCAGAAAAGACTTGACATGGAGGCAGAGATTAAGGAACAGATGGAAAAGGAGTTGAGGCAGAATATTGAAGAAGAAATGCGACTCAAGATGGAACAGGAAATTGCAAACAATAAAAAGCTGGACTCAGAATCCAAGCCGAAGACCGAGCCTTCTGACTCGAGCCTATTGTCAGTTGAAGGCCCTGCCACTGAGAAGATTGGAGAGAAGGAGAAGACACCTGAGGTTAAGCCGTCAACCGTGAGCTCTTTGGCTGAATCGGCTTCGAAAGCAAAGCAGGAGGAGATTGACAAGGCCAGGGAGAAAGAAAGCATCATTCAGTCCAACCGAGAGCTAGCAAAGAAAAGGAAGGCAGATATGGAAGAGAAGAATGAAAGGAAGAAAGCAAAAGTGCCACCTTGAGGACTCTTTGGGGTTGGAAGGGTTGGATGATGGTGGCATGGGTCAGGTGAGAAATCATGGATCCATTAACCCACCAGCAAATGCTTCAGAACAAAGAATTGTTTTATTATTTAGATTCTTGGTGGAACATAAGGTTTATTGATATGCTACTAAATTCAGTAAGGCTAAGATTGATGAAATAAAAAAGAAAACAAAACAAAACAAAAAAACATCAAACAAAATATAAAATAAAATTCGGAAAACACAATATATTTGAGAATGCATCAAGAAAAAAGGAAAAAAAAGCAAATTGCAAACATGAGAAATAAGGAAAAATTGTAAAGAATAAAGAAAACTAAGCTATTAGCTTGCTGGGCAAATGAGGAAAAATAATGAAAAATAAGGAAAAATAAGCTTGTAGCATGCTGGACAATTACGGAAATTAGTGAAAAATGAAGAAAAACGGGGAAAACTAATGAAAAATAAGGAAAAATAGTGAAAAAATAAGGGAAAATAGTGAAAAATAAGGAAAAATAGTGAAAAATAAGGAAAATAAAGAAAAATAAAGGGGAACATAGTGAAAAATAAGGAAAAATAGTGAAAAATAAGGAAAAATAGTGAAAAATAAGGAAAAATAGTGAAAAAATAAGGAAAAAACAGCTATTAGCTTGCTGGACAAATAAGGACAAATAAGGACAAATAAGGGCAAATAGTGACAAATAAGGACAAATAAGGGCAAATAAGGACAAATAAGGACAAATAAAGCATCAGAATGCTGAATATTGCTGAATAAATAAGGAAAACTAGTGAAAACTAAGGGAAATCAATGGAAAAAAAAGAAAATAAGCTAGAAGAAAACTAGGGGAAAAAATTAAAAATACTTGAAAATAAGCTATTAGCTTGCTGGACAAATAAGGGCAAATAGTGACAAATAATGAGAAATAAGCTTTGAAGTTTGCTGGACAAATATATAAGGAAAAACCGTGAAAGATAAGCAAAAATAGTAAAACATAAAGACGATGAAAAAAAAATAGAAAAGAACACAATTACAGGAATAATTTAAAAAACAAGTAAGTAAGGACAAAAAGAAAATAGAAAAGAATATAAATGGAATATTCAGGGAAAATACAGAAGATTGAGGGAAATGCATGAAACAAGACATAAACATGTGGAAAACATGCTGAAACTTGGTGGAATCTAGCAAGAAAATGCCATATGCAAACAATGGACTAACCTAGTCAAAAAAACACTTTGCAATGCAAAAAAACAAGCATAGAATAAAAGAAATGTGGCAAATACACGTTACAAATTTGGATTCACATAATTAGAAGGATGAATTTGTTTCACACATTTTTTGGCAAAGGTCAGAACATGCCTTATTATTATACAGTGACTTATGTTCCACTGAGCTTCCCACAAGTGGTTTAATCAAGGTTGCAGATTTTATTATTAGCTGTAAAATGTTGATGTTGCATTATTGTAAATACTCTGTCAAATTTCACTCACTTTGGGATGACGAAGTCAAATTTACATATCAACTTCGGTAATTTCAAAGCTGGTTCATCAAAGCATGGAGTCATTTTGCTCAAAGCGACAGGTGAAAGGCCATTGGTTTCACAAATCAGTTCAGATTCGCCCCAAACATGGCTAGTGGCAGCAAAAGTGTGGATGACCGCTCCAATTGGCATGCAGTCAATATGGTGCCGATGAATCCACATTGCACTCATTCACCGGAGAAGGCACGAACGCCATCACCAAGGAACTTCTTTTCCTATCATTTCCCAGATGCTGGTGTGTACAGAAAGCTGTATGCTGCTATCCGGCAAGGAAAGAATCCATGGATGAAAAACAATGATGACGATGAAAAGATTGAGACTGAGAGCCCTCCCAAGACCCCTGGTCTTCCTACCAATGATGAGATTGATCATCAGCCCGTTATGATGGATCAGAAAGGTGGTGATGTGGAGTCAATTGCATCCTCAAGTCCGATGGCAACTCCAGTGCAGGTCAGGGACGTAGCAGACTCCGTTGTGAGTGTGCATACCCTCGACGCAACTCCTGTGGAAGCCGATGCCGATGCTGGTCATGGAACTGGGCCGAGAGTTGCGAAGCAGTTTGTCTATGAAACACCTCCTAGGCCAACCAAACGTGGGTGCAACACACCAATTTCAATGGATTACTCCTCGAACACAAGTTGCACATCAAAGGCCATGTCCCATAATCAAAAAGTGGAATTGGGCAAGAGTGGGTACCGTCGTGGTATCACTGATGGTGATGAAATCATCATCACTCCGCCTCCCGTGTCATGGGAGCAGGTTGTACAGGATGGGGCCCGATTCAAGGATGATGATGGTGACAAGAGCCCGGAATCGACCATGGCCCACCCATTTTTCAAGAAACGTCGTACAAATCCCACTTTGTAATTTCTGGGATTCCAGAGGGTAGCAGGCAGTCAAACAGATCAAACAGAAAACATCAGCAAACATGCTTCACCTCAGTGTACAACACTGTAGTCTCTACTGATGACGGTTTTTATTAGTCCAATAGATTACAACACTGTGTAGTTTCTACTGATGACGATTTTTTTTAGTCCAATAAATTATGTCCAATTCTTCTGAGTTCTGATCATTTCCATTGATTGGCATTTCTTGCTACTCAAAGTCCAAGATCACTTGGAAAACTGGTAAGCTCTTGGGAGAGCGTTGCCCGCAGATGCACAGCTACCAGACTGCAGTCCAAAAAAAAAGGCCTCGTTCTCATTATCTTGAAGTCAGAGGGCTTTATCAAAATAGTGAAAAGAATCAAGAGCCAAACCCAATTTACCACTTTCAATGATTCAATTCAATGAAATTCCATGGACTCAGGAGTTTTGTAATGTGATTTGCTTGTTAATTTTATATGTGTGACCCTTTTGTTTAGGCAGGACAGGTCAACCCAAGACTCTTATGCACTGCCCAGCCCTATCTGTCCTCCAGGATGGAACCAAAGCGAAGAGAAAGTTGAAGAAAGGCTGATCCTGGTTGAGGGTATGGCAGTCTACAGTTTGAGCACGGCCGGGGTGAGCAGTCAGTCAATGCTTCCAGTGTTGATACAAGCCGGTAAAAAATATTGTATTATTGTTTGATATTGGGAATACATATCTCATTGGAATTCCTATCTCTATGAACGTTACTTCTGATTATGATTCTGACTGCAGAATTGAATTGGCTGAGCTCACTGTCACTGTCTTCAGTAGTTCTCACGATTCTCACTCCACAGTCACAGTCAGTCAGTCAGACTAGACGATGTGCTGTCTGATTGGTTTGATTTGTCATCATGGTCTGAGTAGCTTACCTAGCAGCCCGCACAGACATCAGAAGTCGTTGCCATCATTATCACGCTTCTGAACCCCCTGACTGAAAATGATGGTATATTGTTTTAAATTTTATATCTGTATGTAATCATATAAATATAGTATATAACAGTTTTAAAGTTTAAGACATGCCAATTTGAATAACACAGTTTCCAGTGTCAGTGGCTAGGGGGATTCTAGTTTTGCTGCGTTGCTGCCATGACCAAATCCGAAGCAGATCGAATTTGCAAGGCAAAAAAAATGTGGTTCAAGATGAAGTTATTATGTCAGAAACTGTTCAGTGTGAATCAGTGATGTCTGCCTTTAGCAATTGATTGGGGGTGTAGTATCTCAGACAGAGGGTTGTATTAAACCTTACTAAATTTGATCTGAAACCTTTTCTGATAAAAATTAGAAGATGATGATATGAACGAAACCACGTCATTACTAATTAATTACAAATCACACCTACCCATAATACAGTTACTCCGGCAGTTTACCAGCCAAGGCACTTCCACAATGGGCATGTGAAGCAGAGAGATTGACACTGCAGAGCCTTGGATTCGAACAACGGCCGGTGGGAATTCATTTGCAATATCATATAAGTCGATGAATTATGTTTAGTTATGAGTGTATTTATCTTTTTTTATGACACAATACGATTCATAAGTTCAATTGAATTTATATAATATGTTTTTTAACAAGAGAACAATAATATATATTTACCCCACTGTCAAGTCAGATCCCATCCACCCAGTGTCAGAGAATAAGGAATGTGGGAACCTCAGAGATGGAGATGGCATCTGAGCTATCCCAACGGAGCAAAAAAACAATTTTTGGCATGATTGCACCTTGGCCAGATTTGCCATTAGACGTGAGCATGTCTAGTAATAGTAAGTTAAATGCTGCAGATCATGTGACCTGATCAGAATTTCCCATTGGCCCCCATCCAATCCAAATTGCCAATTTTCCATTTTTGAGGGAATTCTGGCTACAGCCAAGGCAGTCGCAAAAGGATTGCACCGGAGCATGCAAAGGGTTTTTGGTGGATCTGGCTTGCAGCTGTTCGTGCCAGAAAATGAACTGAAGGCTGGTGACGATTTGACATCAGCCCAGCTATCTCCAGCTACTGTTGAGGAACGGCCACTGCTGACAGCCGCCCCTACTTATGACATTCATAATTATGTGATTTGTTTCTTTCCCACATTTTTCTTGATTTATAATTTATGATGATTGTTATCCATTCTGTCAAGCAATATTCGTTTCTTGGTGTGATAAGTTTCCCAACTGAGACTGCTGATGAAGAGCATCTTCCATTCAAAGCTTTGTGGTCACTGCTGTTCAACTCCAAGCTCAGACTGTACGTCGAACCAGAAGCACTACATAATATGTGGAATGACCTCAAAAATTCGTACAAAAGAGCAGACCTACAACCAGCTTTGCTACTGGGGATTGTTATGAGCCAATCCTCTCACGGTCCGTTTGGCTCTGGTCATCACCAATGGACAAAGCAGCAGACTGCTGAGCTATTAGCCGAGTCAATGACTACATCTGACTTTGAAAATATCAGGGAGTCTATGACTAGAGATAGATACGGAGATACCACTGATATACCTGAGTCACCCAGTGATCTTCCAGATATCCCCAGTGTGGCTAACTTTCCTATCTTTGTAGCTTGGTCAAAATTAGGAAGTACATTGACAAGCAAATCAGTTTCCAAAACCCTTCACTGGAAATAAAATTTGTGGGGAATCAAATGCCAATGAACTAAACATTGATTCGACAGGGTAATTATGTTCACGCAGGTTTGACTCGAAATTCTACATGTTTATTGTTCCATCAATAAATTCCACACATGGTTATTTCGACAAGGGGGCGTAAAACGTATTAATTTGTTGATTTTGTTTTTTGTTGACTGATAATCCCACTTCCGAACCCAGAATCTGAAATTATCCAAGGCAAAACAAAAGAGCTGGTTTCAAGCTGTGGTGGCATTGTACAGGCTTGCGCTTGACTGGAGCTTGGATTCGGTGATCTTGGGAAAGGCAGTTGAACTGACAAAGGGCTTAGATTCTGACGACCGTATGATGGATGATGGTGAGGCAACTCACAATTTGCAAAAGATAGTTTTATTTAGTTTGTGCCATTTATTCTGGAAAACCCCGATTACAGCTCATATGGTTTGATAGTCATCCGAAACAGAAGTTTTCTTGATCAGGATGATGTTGCAATCAGCTTTAGATTTGTTATTTAAGGAATTATGGGAAATAATATTTCATTACAGGAATGCCCTTTTTAACTCTGTTTGACATTACTTAGATTCAAGCAATCACCCCAACACATACCATATTCAAAAACGATGAACATCCAACTGCACACCCTGGAATGGAAAATTAGTGACCATTGGCCCACGCAATGTGACAAGCAACCGTGCTCCACTTGACTTAGGACCACGAAGATGCTGCTGGTCATGGGCCAGCCGATGATCACGCCCGCCCTCAGACACGCAAAGAGCTGGATGAATTGAAAGGGACTTTTTCCAACAAGTTGGTGATGACATACCACTATCATCAAGATCCCATGCTGCCATTGGAATTCAAAGCAATGTTCTGGGCATCACGTCCACTGTTGCATGAGTATGAAGCCACGCTTGACATTCAAAAGGATGGACAGGACATTGTTGAAATATTTTGACTTTGATTCTCAAGTCTCAATTTGACGAACTTACTTCCTATCTACTGTATTGCAGGATGTTGCAACAATTAACCAACTTTTTTCCAGGCCAAATTTCTGAAATGACAATTAGGTGTTGGTGTTGTTGTTGTTGTTGTTGCTGTTGTTGTTGTTGTTGAAAAAATGATGATACTGATACCACACATGTTTGGAGCCCCTACTATTAAACATTGAACCTTCAGTTATCGATAGGAGAAAACACTTCGGTGGAGAGCGGCCCGTGCAAAAGGGCAAACATGGTGGCCTACAGTCGTCAAAACAATGTGTTCAATCAACGACCCTGAAACCATGAAAATGTTGCACATTCCACTGACCGCGCGTGAGAATGACTTTGGCCTAGATGTTCACAAACAAATACTGGAGAAGTACTCGAAACTTTGCATTGAGATCAGTTCTGCTCGAAGCTGGTCCCAATGTCAATACACAATTTGTGTGCCAAACATGTTTGCCATCGTTCACCATGAGTCATTTGAACATCGTGAACGAGGCATGAATGTTCTCAAACGGATCTGGGAGGCTGTTCTTAATGCAGAAAAGGTGCTGAGCCATCCTGACACCAGGGCTGACGTCAGGGCTTCCTTGAAGCAAGTGTTGGACCACATGGCTTGGCACAAGGGGCAGGTTGCAAGGGAACTCTGACGTCAGGGCTTCCTTGAAGCAAGTGTTGGACCACATGGCTTGGCACAAGGGGCAGGTTGCAAGGGAACTCTTTTTGGTTTGCCAACAAGGGGAATGGAAAGCCGGTGATCAACAGATACGTCAACTGGGTTTTTACCTTTTCGGCACCCCAGCCAATACAAAACATTTCCCCGAAGATACTTTTGCTCATCTTGCTGACATTGTCAAAAGAATGGTTCGCAATTGCAAGATCTCAAAGAATCTCATTTGCAGTTATCAATTATCTTTTTTCATTGCCATCTGCCATTTCCTGTCAGTGTTTTTTTTGGTTTCTCCCAACTCCCAATCCCATTTATATATTTTTATGGGTATTACTCATGAATTACTATCCCTGCGATTAAATAAATATTGTAGCTTGCAGTGACCCAGACTCATCCAGTACTTCTTGCTGTATAATGAAGTCATTGTCACCTAAGGTGGAGCAAGTTCTTTTATATGACATGCGTTCCGTCACACAACTCCCTGGGATGGAAGAGGGTGGAGCCTACGCCTCGTGACTTTATGGATACAATGGCAGCAGGTGGTCGTCTAGACTCTGCTGAAGAGGCCCGGAAGGGCAAAGTGTTTACTGTCCCAACAACGTTTGCCCTGCCCAAATGCTTGAACTTCAACGCCAAGGGTCTCAAAAGCAATGACAGAGCAGCCAGCACTGCGGCCAACCAGCGTGCCGCAGCAGCCACGGCATGGATCCTTGCGAATTCAGCGAGCGGTTTCGTGAATGGGCCAATGTCATGGACAGGTGATACATGTCTAAACAGTTTTTTTTTCAAATTGAAAATTACATTTTTGGTGTCATTCACAAGAGAGATATGGGGTATTTAGATTAAATTCGTCAGATTTAAAGTCATGATACCTAAGACAATAAACATAATAATAATTATTTGGTTGTATCCCCGATGATGATTGTGTGTTTTTTTATGTCTGTCCTCAACCATGGAGGCACATTCTTACTCAAGGGTCACGTCTACATCAACCAATCTGGAAAGGCATTCCTATGTTTGGGTTTTCAAACCTACTCAGCACTGGGATTTCCACTGCAAATCAAAAAAGTGGACGGCAAGGACTAGGGTTACTGGTTATGTGTTGTTTCGATTTTGGTTTAACTTGGGTGGGACCCTCAAATCACGTCAGTTTGACTGTGATTCTTGGTCTTTCAAGTGGTTTATAAATTATATAAGTTACCCCTTTTATTATTGGGGGTTGCCTCAAATTTTGATAAGTGGGTGAAAAGCTGGAATCAATCTTATTTGCCAGTCTCCTAAAATATCCACTTCAACCACCAGGACTATCTATTAGCAATTGCGTCGGATGCTGCCAACTATACATGGATGATGTGCAATGAGTTAGATATAAGTGGAACCGCAAAGTGGCGTATGCTACCAGTCAGCCTTCAGGTACCTTCACAACTTCCCGCAGTCCTTCGTTCCTTTGGGAGTGCCTGGCTCGTGACAGGCGAGCCCCAGTCACTGGTAAAATCTGCTGTGAAATCAGGTGTATTCCTCACAGTGAAATCATTGGAACAAATCCAGTCAATGTTGGGCTACAAGCTTCCCGACAAGGGACAGGGATCAGGAAAAAATGGTGCACTGGTAAAACTAGACCATGCAAAGTGCTTGGTTGATTTTCTCTGGCCGGGTGCCACGCCAGATGAAAAAAAACACATGGTGGATACAATTTGCGGAAAAACAGTATCTCGTGTGAAGTGTGCTGCTGATATCATCAGTGCCGTGAAAGAGCTTGGACAGGAAGGTGAACGTGACTTCAAGTTCGTGCATCAGGTGGCGTTAAATCAGGAACTAGTGGAGAAAGAAAGGAAATTGAGAACTCCATCTGATACACGGGAAGATAAGAAAACTTTCACCCCCAAGGTCTTGAAAGAATTCCTACCAAAAGTACAAGGAGTAGCCTGCAGCAGGAATCCCATGCTTTGTCGCTACCAGGCATTTTATCCTGGAACCATGGTCAGATTTGGTCAGTTGTTTTTTGGGTGGTAGGAAAGCCATTGTAGATGTTAATCTGAACTGAAGATGTTTGTATTTGTCGACACCTAAACTAATACTAACTTGACTACTTAAGTAAAGATATCCCACAAGACTCACTCCGAATGACTCACTCAGGACATGTTGACGGTTTCTTGGAAACCCGTGCTTCGACATGGGGTGGGCCAGTCAGAGGGCTCACTGAATTTGACGCGTTGAAGGAGTGCGTTGTCAATTTCATCTGGGCCAAACATGCTTTTCTGAACCCAATGGATGATTCTGCCATGTATCCTGGCTGATTTGTTTGGCAAATCATGACCAACAAAAATGTAAATCTAAATCCAATTTAGCTGAATTTACATCTCCTAATCCATATTCAATCAGGAGGTCTATGGAACGCCCCTGGCTTTTGAAAGCTCCGTGCCGCTGTTATGTCCCAAACTCTTATATGATACTGGCTACCACCAAACAATAAGTGTTATTAAGTCGTAGTACGAAGTTGTTGAACAAATTCACTACGGACTCATTAAATCATTACTTCAGTGAAAGGTTCAATCATTGTTGATTTTTCCAGTGGGGATATGAATACTATGAGTGTACTCAGTCTAATGACTGTATTACTTACTAATAAATTAAATGATGTGGAAAATCCCTCAATTGAATCCATGATAAATCCAAATCATCGCGTTGCTGAGGCCAACTGATCAACAGTTGAAGGAGGCTGTTGAATCTTTTGATGCCAATACTGGTTACTTGGAATCAGATATCGACCAACCGGCTGCAGAGCCGGCCTCGTCATCAGCTGCGCCAAAACCAGCAGCTGCTGCTCCAAAGGCTGGTGGTAGGGGCCGTGGCAGAGGCAAAGCCCAGCCAAAGCCCCCAGCGGCCAAACCCATTCCAAAGCGCCGGGGCAGGGGTCGTGGTTAGAACGTGGATATAATATTTCAACCCAAACAAATATTATCATAATATAATATTGATTCCACATATCTCCAATCAACCAATTTAGTTTAGTGAACAACCTGAATTTCAAAGATGCTATAATAATGTGTTCATTCGACCCCTTGCTTCAGATGTCGAAATGACATGAATAACGTGTCAACGGAATCCACGAACCCATGTCATATGTCAAACAATGACATCACGTGCCACTGAACATGTCAAAATGACGTGAAGCACAACCAAACTCTAAGAGAGAAAACACGCTTTGATCCTTCAGAAGTGGGGCCCGGGCCATGGGTTCATGCTTACCCCAAAGAACAAGTATAACACACATATGGAGGGTTTTGGATGTAAATCGATTCTAGTGATTGTCTACTCACTTGACATGATTACTTGATGTTGGAAAATCAAATAATAATGCAGAAATCACTACATTCCCTTAAATGTCACTAAATGTCACTAAATGTCCCTTAAATGTCACTAAATGTCCCTTAAATGCCTCTTAAATGCCACTAAATGTCTCTTAAATGCTCTTAAATGCCGACCCCCTTAAATGTCACTAAATGCTACTAAATACCACTAAAATCCCTTAAATTCACCATGGGCTCGTTCACCCTGGGCTCCCCCATGGGTCATGATATTGCAATGTTATGATGTTGCTCTCAACACACTGGTGGAACTGGCTTTTAAACAACAGAGGTGACATGACGTGACATGACCGATGAAGAAGTCACCGCCTTGTTTTTTCCCTGGGATTGCAAAGCACCAAGCCACCACCAGTTGACGATTGAAATGTGGCATAAAAGCTGCCTGATTTTTGGGGGATCACCGCCACAATCATCCTCATCATCATCTTCATCCTCATCCATTATTCAAATTCCTACTAACCTTAAGCAGTAGAACATTCCCCCTAAATCGCAGAAATACCATGGTATGTTAACCCATGAATCCCTGGTTTGGACGTCCAGAGGTGGTCGTAGCCTGTTTGATGGAAAGAATGGTGAACGTTTGCCCTTCTTTCCGTCAAACAAGATACTCTTGGACGGTGATGGAGAGTCTCTTGGCAGAACCTGCTGTCGAAGCTGTTCAGCGCCCTTCAGTCAAAGATGTTCAATGGCTATGTGGTTCTTATTCCATGGGGTTAAAACATGTTATAACTCACTTATAACTGGTAAGGGGCCAAAACTGTTTGTTTTACATGGGTCCATGGAATTGCGAACATCCTAAGAAATCTTGAGGGAATATGTTAAACATGAACAGGAAGTAAAGATCTATCTATCTATCTATCTATCAATCTATCAATCAACCAATCAATCAATCTATCTATCTATCTACCTATCTATCTATCTATCTTTCTATCTATCTATCTATCTATCTGTCTATCTATCTGTCTATCTGTCTGTCTATCTACCTATCTATCTATCTAACTAACTATCTATCTATCTATCTATGTATCTATCTATCTATCTATCTATCTATGTATCTATCTATCTATCCATCCATCCATCCATCTATCTATCTATCTATCTATCTATCTATCCGACCACGGATTGCTGCAATGTGCATCGACCATTGCTCCTTTTGACAGAAATACTGAATGCTTAATACTACAATGTTTTGGAAGACTGCACTTCTACAGAAACGAACGCTGCATGTTTTCAGGGAAACCTCTATATTTCGTAGGGATACTACTTCTTGAAAGGAAGAAGTAATGCATTGCCTTGGACGAAAAAATGCAGCTTATGAATGAAAGGTATGGTGTGAAACGAAGACATCGCTTCTGCCAAAGTAACACTATATTTTTACATGAATGCTTCATAATTTGCAAGGGTGATTAAAGGGTTGCATTTGCAACTGTTTCAAAATAGTTTAGCTTACTAGATCCTACTAGGGTGTGGCAGTCTCTCATATTGTCTCCCTCCCATCGGCCATTTGTAGTTTTTACTTTTTTCTTTTTTTCGGTTGGTGGCGTCTTCATTTGGATGAACATTTTGGCAGAGACATTAGGCATGCTGATGTTTATGAACAATTAGCAAGAACAACTTGCTGTAAAACCAACAAAAAAACGCACTCCCACAGTCCCCCGCTCTCAAAAAAAGAGGACATGGAAGAGTCAGAGAAAGAACAAAGTCAAACATGAAAAGGACAAGGAAGAAGAGCAGGAAGAGAAGAAGGAACGGTAGTAAAAAGAGGAAAAGAGATGCAAGAGGAAGGAATATGACAAATGAACAAGGAAGAGGAACATGGAAGAAAACACAGGACAAGAACGAGGAAGAGGAATAAGAAGAGGGAACCAAACAAGGGAAAACAAATTAATTACTTTACTTCGAGGATCTTCGAGGGATCCCCACCGTGAAATTATTTTGTCATAATTAATGATATCTCATGTAGAAGTATATGTCTGCAAAATTTAGAGCGAGCTCAGCCGAGGTGCGAGGTAGAC